TTGCTCGGTGACCCACTTCGTTCAGTTACGTATTGCTGCATTGCGACCGCTGTCGGGTTTCTCGAAAGAACCTACGTCGCCGGGCGACAACTAAAAATCAGTTAATATTTTGAATCGACCCTGACGAATAAATGAATTTCATAAATGAATGAATTTTATAAATGAATGGTTTTTGCTGCCGTATTACTAGAATACAATATTTCAAGGCAGATGAGGCATCTATTCGATAATTTTATTCGAATAGTTTTCAACGAATGTTTTCTTACCAGCTATCGAATTATTCGAATGAATTGCAACTATCGAATGTTTCGATAGTATTCATTCGATAGTTCCCACTACTATTAGGAAGTTTAATTTGTGAAAATTCTAAAAATAAAAATAAAAAAGTAAATATTTGTCTTTATCTTTTAATCGCCTGTTTTCCTAGTGGGGCATAATTGGGGCTATTTCGGCTTAACAAAATTTTTCAAAGGTACATAATTATAATTTCTGAAGATGTTCATAAAACATTTAATTACTAGTTTATTAAAAAAAGTATACCATTAGTATTGCAAATTATATTTTATCGTCTCATAGTATCTACATCGTCTCATATAATAACTACATATTTAATTTTTTGACTATGTAACGAGCACTTTGTTTACTCACTTGTTTCGTCAAACTACTTGATTCATTTTTGCTTTTGGTCAAATCGATATGAGAAACTGTAATGCTATAAAATGTTGTTTTGCGAGAGTTGAATATCTGGGAAAGCTGAGTTATTGAACGTTATTGCACCCAACAACGCCCTAATTACGCTCTCCTTTACTTGGTAACATTTTTTCGGCAATTTTATTAACATTAGAAATTGTCACAATACAACACGATCCCTAGTTCGAATTCTTTTTCACTTATTTTTTACTACGGGCCTTTTCGCACCAACACAGTCCAGTCTAGTTCCGTCAGATTCAGTCTAGTTCAGTCAAATCACTACAGTCCACTGCTTTCACATCAAACGCTTCCGACATTTTTTTTAACGTGTTTTCAGCAAAAATAAGTAGTTTAACAACAGAACGCTTTGAAAATGGACGAGATTCTTAGAGTAATAATTTTACGTCGATTAGAAAAAAGAAGAACGCGAAGGAGAAATTTATTTTGGATACATCCCATTCATAATAGAAGACTTGTTTTCGTATGTTTAAGTCAATTATTTTCCGATGATGCCAAGAAATTTTACAATTTTTTTCGAATGGGACCAGATTTATTTTTCTTACTAAGCAATATATTATGACGCAAATGACTGGTATAAACATTCGACCGAACGAATCACTATCAGTCTTGACTTATTTGGACGCGACTGGAATGTACACGACGGGTTTTGTGTGAAAACAACTTTCGTTCCCGCATTTGTTTTTCTCATCACTGTCCTAGATTGAACTGTGTTGGTGCGAAATGGCCCTACCCGAAACAGCGTTACATCATACAAATCTCATACCTGAGTGTTTTATAGTTCCAATAACTGCACTAGCAAAAATAAAAAATACTTAAATATTACGACAAAGCCACGATTTCAATATTATTTTAATGCGATCAACATGACGGCGGCGCGGCGTGATCTGCCTATATATTGATAATTTCAGATTTTTTCCGCTGAAGTGCTGCGGTCCGAATTTGTTGAAATCAACTGAAATGCACCAAGCCTATAGAAAAGGGTGTTTTCCTTTTAAAACGTCCAATTTGACCCACCCTGTACACTTTTCTATTATTTTATTTCAATTAATTAGTATGATAATAAATGATCAGGAAAATAATAAACTGTCAGTAGTATTAATATATCAGTCAGTTAAATGGTCGGTAAAAAATAAACTGGAGTTTTTATATCTTTCAGGAAAAGCTCATCACAAGAAGAAAGTTGAATGGAGCCCGAAAACGGCGATGGAACTGGAAGCTGAGGCTACCCAATCATTAATAAGGGCGGAAACTGCAAAAATAGACGCAAAACGACGCGAGAGGAGACAGTCTCGATTAGCTGCACAACGAGATGAACCATTTGGATCCAGATGTGTAAGTTATTTTGTCCAAACTAAATTCATACTTATTATTTTTACGATAACAAAATAAATTTGAAACCACTGGTAATTCTCGGATCATCTAACAACAAATTTCCAAGACATAGAGCAACAGGAACAGTAAACTAGAAGGAATACAACACTATTATCTCTTTTTAAATTTGTTTATATTTACTTTTATTTATATTACTAATCTTGGTTCTAATTCTAGCAATATTTATTTCAGCCTGCCTCTTTGAGTCAACCTGGGGCTTCTAGTATAGGCGCGGCGGCATATAGCACAGGCTCGGCATATGGTGCGGGCTATGGCGGTGCTCAGGCTACCTCATCAGGAACACCTATGAGCGAGAGAACAGTACAAAGAACGCTTACGACAGTTCAAGAAAACGACCTCCCAGGTCATCATCCGGCGGTTGTCCTGCGAAGAAAATAGTGCAGCCAATATATCTGTATATTTTTTAAACTTCCTGTATATATTATACCTGTCTTTATATTAATGATATGACTAGTTCAACGAAAGGTCAATAAAGAAGAAAATGTATTTATTAAAAAATAGAAGTGATACTGAATGAAATCTGTGTAAATAAAAATAAAATTATTTTCTTAAATAGCCAAAGTCTTACAACGACAGAACAACGATCTCGGGAACATCCAAAAATTAACAGGAAAAGCGGTGTAATTTCTATTTAAAATGTTTTTAATTGCTTGAACAAAGTTTACATAGGAAGTTTTTTTTAAATCTTTCCAGAAAAAGAAAAAATAAAATTAAAAATTGCAAATTTCTCTCTGAAAAAAAAAATCAGTTTAATTTAAATATGTTCCTATAAAGAGTGACAAACTCTGCTTATTTAATATGCTTATAATATTGTTTATTGGAATGCTGAATACTATAAACAAGTATAAGGTAAGGCGCACATTGGAACGCATGCCACACAACTCACGCAAGGCATTTCTGGATGCAACCCACGAAAGTTGACCGTGGGCTGTGTCAGAAGTGCATATGGCTGCACAAGCCAGACACTCCCACGCACAGATCTTATTAGATTATTTCTTAGGTTTAGTTTGTTTCTGGAAAAGGCAAAATGCACAGTGTCGGCAGTTTCTGAAATAGAATATTTACTAGATCTTAGTTCTGAGCAGGGTTCTGAGTCAAATTCGGAGGAACAGTGGGAAACAGAAGTTCTGCTATACGATGTGAAAAAACGCCGAAAATCTTTTTGGATGAGCAATTACATGAAAAAATGCCGTATGAAGAGTGGTTAGTGTCATACAGCACTGGAAAGTTCCGAACAGCCTCTATTATTTTTTCTTGCATCTTGAAAACTGCATGTAAATGTGCCGCACGCACAAGGAAATCAGTGTCTCGACTACAAAGTGACGCACGACGAATTCAACACATTCGTGGCCTGTGTTGCGCTGCGTCTCAATTTTAGTGATGGGAAAAACCAATTAATTTCAATAATCGAGTACTCGAGTAACAAGGGATTGCAATAATCGAGTGATCACTCGAGCGAAATATCGCTCGTATTTAATAATACGGTCCGTCGCATGTTGTAAGTACTCGTTAACGCCAAGCGCCAAGCAGTAAGCTGCGTGCGCAGGGCACATATTCTTTCGGTAATGAACGGCAATTAGTAAGCGGCGAGCGATTCGCTTGATTTTACTTCAGGTTTCTCTTATTACCGATTCTGAACCGTCCTAGAACTGTGATGCGTATGCGCAGAAGGAAATATGAAGACATTGTTTCATTTGCGCATGCGCTGCAGAGTTCTAGGACGGTTCAGAATCGGTAATAACAAGAACCCGAACAACGCTTTGATCGCCTCATTTAGTTTATTTCGAATCATTGTCGATGTAGGTCGTAAAATTGTGTCTCTCAGATACGCAACGGATAAATATACCGGGTGCGTCTCAAAGGTGGATCACCCCTTTACCTTTTTTATTTTTTCAGATAAAACAACGAGATTTGGTATGTTAGTATAGCAGTAAATTAGGATTGATTGACATATTCAATTGTTATCGGTCACTTCGGTTTCACCGGAAATGACTAAAGTTTTGATTTTAAATCGCACCTCAGGTATTTTTTACTTTATTCGGTAGAAAATGACACTCTGAATAGAATGACATATCACATGTCAACTTTGACCTTTTCATATTGTTTATTTGAAATTGTAACATGCGGTTCATAACGATAATTTGACTCGAAGTACCAAGTGACCTAATTATTCGTAAAAATTCTTTTTCTAATATGTTAATGATCCACCCTCGTTCCATCTGAACAAAATTGAGATATGATCAAAAAATACGATTTGGGCATCTTTTAACCGGCAGGAGCAAGACACTAAAACATTAAATGATCTATTTTCAGGGCTCATTGATTAAAAAATTAGTGTTTTAACACAGCCATGGCACTCCTAGTTAAAATTTAAAATACAATTTGTTTTAAGCGAATATGTCGAAGTTGACGCAAGATACGTCATTCTATTTAAGAATGTCATTTTCAATTGAATAAAGTTAAAAAAAATACAGGCGGTACCATTTAAAAATCAAAAATTGTAGTTATTTCCGGTGAAAAAGGAAGTGACGAAAACAATTGAATACGTCAATCAATCTAATTTATGTCATATACTAACATACCGAATCTCATTTTTTATCTAAAAAAAATAAAAAGTATTACTATTAATAGGGGTAAAGCCACTTTTTGAGACACACCGGTATATACGCGTCATATAAATTTGCTATCTGCAATGTATGTAGAAAATTCGCTCGGCTTTTTATCGAGTAGGTCACATTAAAATCGGATTTCAATTTATTTCATTCTAGGATCGCTTGCGTTCGTCGCTTGGTACTCGTCACTTAGAATTAGAATTTAGAATAAGTGGGAGGGGGGTTAATCTCTGCGACCTTAGAGATCTATTGTGTCCCCCTTTCTTGAGTTATAACTCATCATACAGTCCCAGGACTTCCTACGGAGACTCGTGTCCCTCACAGTCGAGTAGCTACGACCCAGGCCTTGGAACTTTGGTGATGTTTTTATTACTATTATTACCAGATCTCATAGTGTTCCTATGAGTCGCTAGGGACAGTCGGTCCACTTCTACAGAGCCCCGCATGTAGAAGTAAGGGGTAAAATACAATGGGGTGCCCTCCGGTGCCACAAGTTTGAGGCTGTCCGTAGCCCCGCCCGGTATCGTTCTATGTCTTGGTGCAATGCCCTGGCCACGACACTACAGTCAGGGACAAGACGATGAGTGAGATGCTTCTCAGACCAAGCCAAGTGCTAGAGGGGATTCCCCCCAACACCTGACCAGGAGCTTCCCCACCAACGACAAGGTCTTGCATCTCCTAGGGGAATCCTTGCATCTCCTACTCGTGACTTGCATCGCTCGTTCATAATCGAGCAATGTCGGTTATTTCAATAAACGAGTACTCGAGTGAATTTTCGCTTGAGTTATCCCATCACTACTCAATTTGCGGACAGACTTACCTAAAGCAAGGCGCACATTGGGACGAATGCCATGCACGCAACCCACTCAAGGCAGCGCAAGGGAAGTTTTTGCAACACAAGCAATCCCATACAGCACGTCCAAATGAAATTACGTTTCTACAAGGGAGACACATGAGAAACAAAATATGTTAAAGTGAACCTAAGTGTTCAATCTAGTTCTAATAACTTATACATATGAGATACACGAAAGTTTATATTGATTAAGAATTGTGTGATAACAGTGTTTACTAGTTGGTATAACCGTATGCACTCCAAGGATTCTAAAAGAGGTTTTTTTGAAACGTAACAAATAATTATAAAATGATGAAATCTGACGTCGGTATATGAGACATACAATGTATAAAGCATATGTATGTGTGATACTTCGTATCATAGTTATGCCTATAATACACACCTTGTAAAAATGTGACATATACCACATAATATAAATATCTATATAGACACCTTGTAATAGTGTACTGTTGTCTGCTTCTACATTCTAGCATTAAATGAAGGTGTGCGCACGCCCGGATAGCCTCAGCGTAGACACATCGACCAAGTGTATCTTATGTGCCCTCTCTCCTTTCTCCTTTATAGGAGTGGTATGTGTTAGCAGTCATTATTGTTTTATCATTCGGAAGCTCTATATAAATGTTCTGTTTGTGAGTTTAAAAGAGATCTTTAAGTAAGAGGAATTATTAGGACTTGGAAAAAATCCAAAAAAAAAAAATTATTAATATTATAGCAGCGACTGTTCCCTTACTCGATACCCAATTTACCAAATTTTGACTCAATGAATGAAAACCCAAATGAAAAAAAAATTGAAAAAAAAAAAAAAAAAAAAAAAAACATATATATTTTCTTTTACAATTTGGGAAATAATAAAAATCTAAATGGACCAGAGATAGAAAGATTATACACTTCACACACACTTTCTTACACTGATATTCGGTTAAGTTCATTGATTGGATCAATTATACAGAATGTTTAATATTCAATAATCAGTTTCATATTAAAATTTTAAGAAAAAAAAAAAAAAAAAAAAAATAAAATACAACAAAGTCCAACAAAGTGCTCGATGAATGAGTATGCTAACAAACCAACTGCTTTGAGGGAAAAGGAGGTAGAAAAAATATGACTATAACGAGGCTCCACCAAATCGTTGCGATATACCAGTGTTTACCATTTAGTATGTTGTTATACTAGGTACTTATATATTTTAATACATTTGTATAAATTCTGTTCTTTCTACAGTGTTTTCTTACTTCTGTTTTCTGCAGGTAAATAATTATTATTATTGTGTATTTGCGCTATGGCGTTCCATGATATAAATAGAAAATATAAGAATTTTATTTTTTAACCACTTAATCCATTTTATGGAAGAGAAAAATGGTACATTTAATTACAAAACAAAAATGGAACAAATTTTAAGCCTACTTCTCTTGAACTTACGATCGAGATACTTTTGGAAAATACGTTTTGCCTTCCTAATTTTCGTTCTATAAAGGTATAATTGGTATCATTGAATAAATCAGTTTCTTAAAAAGAATGAAAAAGTTAGGCACTTAAAACTCTGTATTTTTTCCTAAATTCGTTCATAAGAGGTAGTTTTATCTAGCACAAAATAATAATACCGAAGCCAAAATATCATACTGTATACACGCGCGTTAAGATCACAACTGCATGTCTAAATAGTTTAAACGTAATTACATAAGCACTTGTGCTCCTACGGCACACTGTTTATCCCTTACTTTGTGTATACGCAAATGCTATACTGTGGCTACATTGTGGGGCGGACGTTTAACCTTTGTGCATACGTGTTGAACTACAATGTGTAAACGTAGCATATTTACATCGGGGGAATTGTGTCACCCTGTGTCTACATCTAATAATGTAAACACATCGTAAATGTGATTTGATGTGCTGTATGGAAAGCTAATACCTGTCCGCAAATTGAGACGCAGCGCAACACAGGCCACGAATGTGTTGAATTCGTCGTGCGTCACTTTGTAGTCGACACAGTTTCCTTGTGCGTGCGGCATATTTACATGCAGTTTTCAAGATGCAGGAAAAAATAATAGGCTCTATAATGC